ACAGGTCAAGGGAGCGGGATGAGGTTAGTAGGTAGGAGATGGGGGTGAGGCTTGATGTGGGAGGAGGGGATAGGTGGGAGGAAGAACAGGTTAGGGAGGCGGGGACGAGCTAGGCTGGTTTTGGGATGCGGTAGGGGGAGGGCAGATTTTGAAGCTTGTGAAGTCCACATTGATACCATTGGGCTGCAGGGTTCCCAAGCGGAATATGAGTTGCTGTTCCTGCGACCTTCGAGTGGTGGCACTGCAGGAGGTCCAGGATGGACATGTCGTCTGAGGAATGGGAGGTGCGGTTGTTTAGTGCGAACCGAGCGTAAGTGTTCTGCAAAGCAGTTCCCAAGCATTTCAGTAATACCCTGTTCTTCCATTCTCACTTCCAAAATGAACAGCTTCACATTTCCCCACGTTATTGTTTCCACTTGGCAAGATTCTGCCCACTGACCTAATCTATCCATTTCTCTCTGAAGACTGTCTGTATCCCTCTCACAGTCTGCCTTTCCACTTATTGTTGTGTCATCTGCAAATATGGCTACAGTCCCTTCACTTCCTTCCAGTCGTTCATATATTGTAAACAGTTGTCCTCCCAGCACTCATCCTTGTGGAATGCCACTGGTCACAGGTCACCAAGCCAGAAAAGAACCCCTCCCTGGACTGACCTATCCCCTCCCTACCTCCCTACCTCCCCACCTACACTGACCTTTACTGGCTCCATCCCCGCCTCTTCGACCTGTTTGTTTCCTCTCCACCTATCCTCTCCTCTATCCATCTTCTATCCGCCTCCCACTCTGTCCCTATTTATTTCAGAACCCCCTTCCCCTCCCCCATTTCTGATGAAGGGTCTCGGCCCGAAACATCAACCTTTCTGCTCCTGTGATGCTGCTTGGCCTGCTGTGTTCATCCAGCTCTGCACCTTGTTGTCTCGGATTCTCCAGCATCTGCAGTTCCTACTATCCCTTATCCCTACTTGCTGTTTCTGTCCATGAGCCAGTTGTCTATAACGCCAATAAACTGCCTCCAATCCATGGACTCTTATTTTAAGACTTAAGCTTACGTAAAGTACTTTGTCAAACTTCTAGAAATCCAAACACAACACATTTACTGGTTCCCCTGTATCCACTCTGGTTGAGACTTCCTCGAAGAACTCCAATAAATTAGCCAGACGTGAGTTCCCTTTCGTGGAGCCATACTGACTCTGTTTGATTAGATTTTGATTTCCTAAATGTTCTGCTATAACCTCCTCAATGACTGAATTCCAAGACTTTTCCAACAATAGATAACAGGCTAATCAGCCTCAGGCATTTACCTGCATTTTGCCTACCTTGTTGAATAGGGGTGTTACATTGGCAGTTTTGCAATTCTCTGGTACTTCTGCAGAATCCAAGGATTTTTGAAGAGTTGCAAGGAATGCATCCACTACCTCCATTAGGATCCAAGCTGTCAGGGCCAGGAGATTTATCATAGAATCAGAGACACCCTACAATGTGGAAACAGGCCATTTGGCCCAACAAGCCCACACCACCCCTCTGAAGAGCATCCCACCCAGACCCATTCCCCTACCCCTGATTTCCCCATGTCTAACCCACATAACCTAAACATCCCTAGGCACTATGGGTAATTTAGCATGGCCAATCCATGTACCCTGCACATCTTTGGACTGTGGGAAGAAACCGGAGCACCCGTAGGAAACACACACAGACACGGGGAGAATGTGCAAACTCCCACACAGACAGTCACCTGAGGGTGGAATTGAACCCAGGTCCCTGGCGCAGCGAGGCAGCAGTGCTAACCACTGAGCCACCGTGCTGCCCCTTCCTTTAATCCCAATAGTTTGGCTAAACTTCTCTGGTAATGGTACTTAATTCCTCCCTCATACTCTTCAGTATAAATGGCATGTTAGAAGTATTTTCCTTCGTAAAGACTGATGCAAATTGTCTGTCATTTTCTTGTTTCCTGGAACTATCTCCCCACATTTGTTTTCTAAGGGCCTACATTCACTTTGACATCTCTTTTTTTTGTACATTTAAAGGAGCTCTTACTGTCAGTTTTTATGTTCCTCGTCAGTTTGCCTCAGTTTATTTTCTCTCCCATCATCTTTTTAGACCTCCTTTGCTGGATTTTATCTCCGTCTTCAGGTTATCACTGACTTTTGCCTCCTTATATATGCTTTATCGACAAGGTACAAGTCAGGAGTGTGATGGGATATACTCCCCTCTTG